GCACGGGTGAACGCTCTCTCTCTGGCCGCTGGGGATTCCTGCTACTAAGCGGCACTTTGGATCACGCCGCCCCAGCGGAAGGTCGTGCTCTCCGTGCTCTTCCTGCTTATTCTCTGTTCCTCTGTATAAAGAATAAACTATTCCTACTATTTTAGCCTCTACCGACTTCTCCTTTCCTAAGGAACCATGGTCTGAAGATCGCAGTTGCTAGAGTTTAACTTACTTAACCCCCTGCGATACTCCTGACTAGGAAGTGGCATGCTAATTTACGGAGAATTTGGAGGTGTCACTGGTGCCGCCAATACGAAAGCTGTCTGCGAGCGTCCCAATGAGCTAAAAAGGCCGGCAAGCGGGCAAGGCATCCCTCAAAAGATGAACTGAAGGGGGAGTGAAATTCCTAACTCCGACTGCGCGTCGAAAGGAGGCTTCAATAATGGGGCAAGAGGCCAGGGCTCTTCAAGGAGGGGAAGGGAGGCGAGGCTTAGGACTGCCTCAAGCACGATAAAGCCAACCAGCAGTGGTAAGGCGTCAAGAATCAATGGAACACCGGTGGATCCGAAAAGCCACACCGTAAAACACTGATATTTCTACACAAGGGCAGTCTAAAAAGTACAAAAGAAAGTGAGCAGTCCGCGTGCTAGTTATTTTTCTTTTCTTGCAACGATACGAACTCCACGACCTCCTGGTCATCGCTCGCCCGAGTGTCTTCACACGCAAAAGTCCACTGCAGATTCACGTAGATGTAGACGAGGAAGGCGCCGAAGAGTCCTACTGCCGTGTAAACAGAAGTGAGCATAAGGGGAAGAAACTGGTAGGTTGGGTATCGCAGGGGCAGGAACAGGCGCACGGCTACCAAAAGCGGCAGCAGGCCAAGGAGGTGAAGGCTGGCTAGAGAGGAGAGCAGGGGCCAACATCTGCCCAGGAGGCCAGTGTAGACAAGAGGAGACATGCGGCCGGGGAGACTATACTGTGCCGCTGTGAAGGCGAGGTATGCGCTTAGCACGACCGGTTGTTCTAAAAAAGAAGGTAACAGCATGCAGAAATCATCATTTAGGGGGAACCTAGCGGAATTTGGATCCATTCTTTCGTCTGCGGAGGCAACGTGCTGACTTTTGGTGTATCAGATTCACTCCATACCGATACA